TTTGGGTCCGAGTTGACCTGAATCCCGTTGTACGAAGGGTGTCAGGTACTCGCCCCCTGACCGACTCACCCCTTTCCAACTCGCCCCCCTAAACTCGCCCCCTGACCGACTCGCCTCTTACCAACTCACCTCCTGGCCGACTCGCCCCCTGACCAACTCGCCCCTGACTGACTCGTCCCCTAGGAACGTCAAGCAAATATGGCCGGCCCAATGTATTAAAAAAAACGAACAATGGTTCTAACCAACGACTCGACACGAACGACTCACGGACGGTGATGGATATTTGGACATCACCACTTATCACTTATTTATTCAAACGCTTCTACGTCCACTGTCTGATTAGGTTATTTGTACATCCAACATACCCTCAGGATTAACAACTTCAAACCCTCCGTCCCATTAATATTTGGGTATGTGACTGTATCCTCTTGTAGTGACCCGATATCCAGTAAGTTACATGTAGTTATAGTGTTCTGTTGTTCATTCACTCGACTGGGATCTCACATATACTGCGAAAATTGATTTAGGTTCTTGGATATACGCTTCTTGTGTGATGTATAAAGTCATAGTGGTACATTGTACACTAATGTCAATTTTTAACGTCCCATTATTAATTTTTTTATTTGCGTAATTTTGTCTTCCTTTTTTGGAATTGAATATCTTTGAGAGTGTTTTTAATTTGTTTACTACATGTAAGTAACGGGCACCAGATGACATGCTGTTTTTCCATGACGTCATGACACCGACAGTGCATGCTGGGATATAATTCAATATGGCCGATCAACAATGTGATCCTTGATGACTGTACTCGTCGAATAAATCAGTATTTAGTGTTAATTGTGAACTAATAATTGCATCCTGTGAAGTTATCGGAATCTGAAAGTGTGTAGCGACCGTTACACCCTTTGTCATAAATCATGTCTCCTTAACACGTCCGTAGGTTTGCATCGCCGGACATTATGCCTAATATGTACCATTTTTATTATCCGAAATAGTCCTCAAAGTTAATTAATATGGTAGAGTGTTGGTGTTGTGGCGCACAAAATCCCATAGACAATACACAGGAAACGCTGCGCCATGGCCCATACACACAGTAATACTGAATTAGTTTTACCAATATCAAAAAAAAAATTGTTACCCCCTAAATTCCACAGAAAGGGAATATCCACCAAGCTTTAAACAAACTCAAATTTGAGTGCCCGCTGCAAACCCCAGAACATATTTTTAAGGGCAGCAATCACCGATTCCATCTCTGACTGATTGTATTTTTTATTAAATGGTGGATGGGCTGGCCATACGTGCTTGGCAAACTTCAAACAAAGCACAAAATCTTGTAAACAAGCTATTTATTCCCAAACTAACTCCAGAAGAAGGAAAGAATTCCATACACGAAGTTCACTTTTTAGGAGAAATTTTTGCTCCAGGACAGATTTAAAAAAGGGCGACATTTATTTTTGGGGGACAGAGATGTGAAAGGGGGTTCAGTAACTTAGGGGGACAGGTTAAAAAAAAAGAAGGGGCCCCACGCAATAAAACGGCAAAAAAAGTG